GAATTGACGCCTTTGATCTGTGGTGCTGGAGAAGAGTATTGAATGTACCATGGACTGCCAAGAAAACAAACAGATTCATCCTAGAGAGGGTTAAACCAGGTTACTCCTTGGAGGCAAGGATTCTGGGGCTTCGTCTGACATTCTTTGGACATGTTGTAAGGAGAGACAGGTCTTTGGAGAGGGACATCATGCTGGGTAGAGTAGAGGGACAGTGCAGGATGGGAAGACCCTCTGTGAGGTGGGTTGATTCAGTGACTGGGGTAATAGGAATGGGTGTGTCAGAGGCAATGCGATTGGCACAGGATAGAGCAGGGTTTAGGGCTGTTGTACATAGGGTCATTATGGTCGCATATGACTCCACAGCACATAACAACAACAACAACAGTCCTTACCATATCTGATCCCATTGTTATAGTCACTGTGTTGATCCATTTTGTTGAGGGTCTTCCTCTATTTTACTGATTCTATATTTTTTACAAGGACTAGTTTTTCTCTCTCTACAAAGTACTTAAGAACAATGATGTCTCTCTGGAGACTAAGGTGCATCTGATACAGGCCATGGTCTTTGCTATCACTTGTTATGCCTCAGAAGGTTGGACAGTGACTAAGGAGGATAGAAGGAGAATTGATGCCTTTGAGCTGTGGTGCTGGAGAAGAGTATTGAGGGTACCATGGACTGCAAGGAAAAAAAACAGATTCATCCTGGAAAGGGTCAAACAGGGCGGCTCCTTGGAGGTAAGGATTCTGTGGCTTCGTCTAACATACTTTGGACATTGGAGAGGGACATCTTGCTTGGTAGGATGGAGGGACAGCGCAGGAGGGGAAGACCCTCTATGAGATGGATTGATTCGGTGACTGGGGTAATATGGATGGGTGTGTCAGAGGCACTGCGATTGGCACAGGCCAGAGCAGAGTTTAGGGCTGTTGTACATAGGGTCACTATGAGTCGTGAGCGACTCGACGGCACATAACAAGAGTCTTTCTTGACAGCGTGTTCAGAGTTGTTAGATTTCAGCATCTTTGCCTCCAAGGAGCACCCTTGTTATACTTTCTCCAAGACATATTTGGTTTTTTGATCATCCATAGGAGATTTGTTACTCTGCTTTAGTATCACAACGCAAAGGTGTCAATTGTTCTTCTGTCATCCTTAGTCATTGTACAACTTTCAGACATATAGTTTTATCCAGACTATATTACTAGTGAAACCCCTATGGCCTAGTTGTAAGAAGCTGTTCTGCAATCCTGATGGCATGCAGTATGAATCCACCAGCTAGCTACTCCACCAGAGAAGATTGAGCAGTCTCCTGTCATGAGATTAAAGTGCCTCTGTAAACCTACTAGGAGGTCAGCTGTGAGTTGACTCAACATCAAAACAACAACAGATTACTGATTGTCCTCTTAATGTATTGTGATCTTCTTTGCCTTTGATCTTACTTTTTTCCCAGGTTTGGAGTTTGTTTAACTAAGTACTGTTGACCTTCAGAATTTCAGTTACTTGTAAATACTCATTCAAATAATCATCATTTCATGAACACGTTTATGATTGCCCCATTTCACTGCCAAATATATATATATATATATATGAGAATTTTAAGGGGATTTTACATTTGTAACTTTAATGTTTTTTTTTGTTGCAGTACAGTTATTGGAATAATTTGCTTTGTCTTCTTTATTGTTACTGTTATTATTATGTGCTCCAGAGTTACATGAGACTCTTAGCTACAGTATCAAAACAGAGCAAGGGAACACTGCATGATTCAAAATTGGAAAAGAAGTGCGTAAGGGATGAGTCCTGTCTATACCTTTTCAATCTTTATGCTGAACAGATCATTCAAGAGACTGGACTTTATGAAGAGGAGTGTGACATCAGAATTGGAGGCAGACTCATCAGCAACCTTTATTACACAGATCATAACAACCTTGCTTGCCGAAACTGAGGAAGAGCTGAAGCATGTGCTACAGGTCAAAGAGTGTCTTCAGTATGGCTTAAAGCATAACATCAAGAAGACAAATATTTTCACCACTGGGACAGTCGGTAGCACATGATGGATAGAGAAGAGACTGATGTTGTTAACAGTTTTATGTTGCTCAGCTCCACAATCAGCACTCTTGACACAAGCAGTCAAGAAATCAAAAGACAAATTGTATTGGGGAAGTCTGCCGTCTGTGACTTCTCCAGGGTGCTGAGAACCAATGATGTCAGTAGAAACTAAAGTGCCCCTGATCCGGGCAGTGGTCTTCACAATTTCATGCTATGCACCAGAGAGTTGAACAGTGATTTAGGATGATAGGAGAGCTGAACAAGGATTTAGGATGATAGAAGAAGAATTGATTCTGTAGAGTTTGGGTGCTGGAGAAGAGTATTGAACATACCATGGATCACTAGGAGAACAAATAGGTCGATCTTAGAGAGGGTGAAACCAAGTTTCTCCTTGGAGGCTAGGATTTTCAAGTTCCATCTCACATACTTGGAGCACGTGACCAGGAGGGACCAGTCCCTGGAAAAGGACATTGTGCTTGGAATAGTCGAGGGACAGTGCAGGAAAGGAAGACCTGGATGAGATGGATTGACACAGTAACAGGGGCAGTATAGGGGCATGTAGGTGTGTCAGAGTCAATGAGGCTGGCTCAGGACATGGCAGGGGTCAGAGCTGTACTATCTTCCTTATCTCTGGTGTGCTTGAGCCCATTGTTACACTAACTGAGTTAGTGTACTTCCCTAAAGGTCTTCTTTTTTGCTGACCCCCCACCCCAACACATAAACAGCTATGAGTTACTCATTATTCGTTTGGACGCTGTGTTATCTCATATATAGCCTTGGACTGGGCTTCAAGGTACTTGCGTGCCAGGACCCAAACCCTTGTCTTGGGATCAGAGCCCTACTTTTACCTGGTTTCTGTGAGGTCCAGAAGCCACCTACCCTGTGTTGGTGGAAATCTAGACTCAGACTCCTAATCCTGTTTTCCCTTGGCTCCTACAGCTTGTGGTAGCTCTACTCTACATTTTGCCTGGTGTGTTTGCATAAGATTCTTATGGAAATATATGCTTTGTTGGTACCCTAGTTGTGGCTCCAACTAGGTTAAGGTCCCCTTAACCTCCATCACTCACAAAATTTCTTCCTAGGCAGACTCCTGTGGGCAGGAGGATCTTCCTTGTCACTGACTTAGCAAGGACGTTAGTGGCAACCAGGTGGGACCTAGCTGAGTGCTCAGCGAAGGTGCCTGCAGCAGATTAAATAGCAGACCATGTTCCTTGGACACTGATGTTACATAAATGCCCAAATTATGTAACATCATATTTCATAGAATGTACTAGGGACCTTATGTGACACATACCTAAGGGATGTATGTTATGTGTAAAAGGAATCATTATGGCACTGTGGTTAAATGCTGGGCTTCTAGCGGAATGGCGAGTAGTTAGAACTCACCAGATGCCCCATGGAATAAAGATGTGGCAGTCTGCTCCTATAAAGATTATAGCCTAGAAAACCGTGTAGGGCAGTTTTGCTCTGTTATATTGAATAATATGAGCCAGAATTGAATTATTGGTACACAACAACATATGTGTGTGTAAATAATTGAATTTTTAAAGAAGTTTAATGATTTGTATTCTTGCACCCTAAAGATCAGAATAAAAGCAAATTAAGGAATAGATATGAATTGGTTACTAAATTTAAGAGATTAGAAAATATTAATTTCCATTGGTATGTGAAAAAATTTAAAATAGTTTTTAAATGAATTTTCTTTTTTTAAAAAAGCAAACTGGGGGTAGGGAGGAAGATGTGCAACAATGAATACATGAATACCCAAACTTTTGTAAACTTTTGTTAAAATGAGAGATGTTTTTAAGTCTTAATTACAGCCCATGATCTTAATTTATATAGCATATTTGAAAGCAGAAGGGGCGCTCTGGTGGCTTAGTGGTAAGGAATTGCACTGCCAACTGAAAGATAAGTGGTTTACATCCACCAGCTGCTCCACTGGTTATAGATGGGTGATCTCCCACCATACGCTATACTTCCTCTGAAAACCTCCTGGAGGGTCAGCTATGGGTTATTCTAACTCGATGGTACACAGAAACAGCATTTTCCTTTTACTTGAAGACCACGGGGGTAAAGTGACACAGTGATTGAAATAGTGGGTTTTAGCACAGTAGAGATTATGAGCATGGCACCAGATTGGGTAAGGTTTCTTTCTGTTATTGTGAGTTAGAGTGGACTCCTTAGGACTTAACAAGTGTTTTTGAGGCCAATGGAAAGAAATAAAAGGTTAAAAAGCCTAGTTCCTTTCTAGGTAGAGACAAATGATAAAAGAGTGGTATGATGTAGTTCAGTAAATGTTGTGATAAATTACACCAAGGCTAAGCTGGGGCGGCGGGGGAGGGAGGATTTGGTCAGAGAAATATTATTTATGTGGGAAAGTAAGCATGCTGCTGTTATTCTTGGGGTTATAATCTTAAACCTGTATGTATTTCTAGACAGTAAAGCTTGGTATTTAAAGTTGATAAAATTATTAAGTCACATTTTCTTTTCTCCTAGATGGTATACCTCAAGTTTACTATTTTGGCCCTTGTGGTAAATACAATGCTATGGTGCTAGAACTACTGGGACCTAGTTTGGAAGACTTATTTGATTTGTGTGACAGAACATTTTCTCTTAAAACGGTTCTCATGATAGCTATACAACTGGTAAGTAGAGCAGAATGCTTTGTAGCTGTATGTGACTTTACCATATAGAGAATTTAATCCAAGAAAAAAATGCTGTGATTTTTATATGTTGTGTTTTAGGATCCATATGACTGAAAATAACTGAATGAAGATGTGTTTTATTTATATGAAAAAGTTAGTATCTTATTTTTATAAATCAGAATGCTTAGTTTGAGAATTCTTTGCAGTATCTTTTTGGAGGTAGATGATTACATGGAAATAGATGCCTCAAATACATTTTGATAATAGATTCTAGTGTCCTAGAAAAGAGAGAGATAAACTAGTGAGTGAGTCGTAATACATTATTTAAATTTCCAAGAATCTATATAGAAAAAAATCATAATTTGATTTAACAAAATTTTGACATTTTTTAGGAGTATATTTCAGAAGTCTTAAGAATGTTTTATCCCTTGATCTATCTATCTCACTTTTCTATTTCTATACCCTTTGGAAATAGCTATATTTAAAGCTTTTGTCAAAGGATATTTATAGTTTTAAAAATGGATAAAATCTTAAATGACTAGAAACAATAGGGTTTGTATAAGTCATTGTAAAATAGCATGCAGCTATTCAAAAAGTATCAAAAGAATATGTTAAGACAGAAAATTTTTATATTAAGAAGTATAATAGAAGACATTTATCACAGGATCCAAAATTTGTGACTAAGCAAGCAAACTAAAGTGGACTTTGTGACTCACGTGTATATTGCATTGCAAATCATGATTATTCAAGATCAATTTTGTTATTTCTAATATTATAATTTTTGAAGTTTTAAAGCTATACTTGATTTAACACACTGTAAGATAGATATACAGAAAAGATAGAAAAGATAGATACATAAAAAATATACGATATTGTTTTTAGAGTTGAATAAAAAAGTTCCATAGTTTTCAGTGTCGGTACGCATTTAGTAGTGCAAGAAAATGTTCTATAAAAAAAAATACTAAAAGTTTCTTTGCTAATTCTTTTTGATAATTTATTATCTTAAATTTTTCTCTTGTTAAAATGGCTTGGTTATTAAACAGTGAAAAAGAATGAATTGAAACATTTTGCATGCCTGCTTACATATTTGAAATCAAGATTTTGTAACAATAGTTCTTTTCCTACAACATTTTATAAAAATAAGTTGTTCATATTATGTTGTTGTTGATTACCTTCGCATTGAGTACAACTCATAGTGACCCTATAAACAAAAGGCCTGACACCCTTCCACAACCATTGACATTTATCAAAGTTCATAGAGTTTCTGGAGGCAAGTTATTTAGGAAGTGGATGCCACTCTTGCTTCCAAATTCATATTATAGATGCTCATGTTGCAGATTTTCATATTCATATAATAGGTTTTTTTAAACCATCATTCAAGAATTAAATCAAGATGACTGATAGGAAATGAATTTATGAAATTGAAATTTACATTTGTCAGTGACCATAATAATTGAGGCACAGATTTTAATCATAAGTGGATATATTGTTGAAGAATTTAGTACTAGTAATATTAGTTTTAAAAAATGAAAAGGATTCTGAAAAATTTTCTTTTTTAGTTGTTTTATTGTGACGAGTCTGCTTTCTCTATGTTATGTTCACTCCTGCTATTTAAAACCTGAAATAAATTTCTCTTCCTTTTTTTCTTAAATGAAGATTTCCCGTATGGAATATGTCCATTCAAAGAACTTGATATACAGAGATGTAAAGCCTGAGAACTTCTTAATAGGACGACCAGGGAACAAAACGCAGCAAGTTATTCATATTATAGATTTTGGTTTGGCAAAAGAATATATTGATCCAGAGACGAAGAAACATATACCATACAGAGAACACAAGAGTCTTACAGGAACAGCTAGATATATGAGCATAAACACACATTTAGGAAAAGGTATGTGTTTGTTTCCTAAGTGTGAAAGCCAGCAACTATGATAACAAAGAGAATCTGTTATTGTGGTTTTATTATAACTGATTTTATTCCTATTTTTATTTATCACATATAGTTTGAAGCTTTTTTCAGTAATAGTTGTTGTGTATCGTTGAGTAGGAAATGACCATAGCTGATCCGGCAGGTGGGTTTTCAGAGGTAGGGAATCGCACTGGAGGAGATTATCCAGCCTTCTCGTGCGGAGCAGCTGGTGGCCTCGAACCATGTGCCTTTGAGATTGCAGTGCAGCTTCTTGCCCCTAGGCCACCAGAACTCAATATTTTAATAAAATTATTTAAATAAGTAGCTCTAGAGTAAATAAATAACAAACATTCTTATATTTATTACACATTTTTTTAAAAAAAAGTTGTAGCTTTGAAATGTTTGACTTTCATACTATAAGGGTGATATATTTGATTGTTTCTGTTAGGAATATGAGAGAAAGTCTAATTTCAACTGAATTTAGTATGTGTGTGAAAATGTCTTGAGATTATAACACTCTGGTAAAACTAGGAGGAGATACACAGCTAGTCTATTATGCTTAACTCTGGGAATGTATGTTGTAGAGATGTACCAATATGACTTCTAATCCTGGTGTACCTGTGTACTAGCTTTGTGAACTTGGGAAATTATCTTTTTAAAGGGATTTTGTATTTGCTAACTGGATAAAAATATCCAGCTTACAGGGCTCTTGTGAAGATGAATTATTAAAATATATAATAAGCACCCAAATACTGGTTTTGGAAAAGATCTTTAAGTTAAAATATGCTGACATTTAAAAAAGGTATTGTCACTTAAAAAATCATTTTGAAAAAATAAAAAAAATCATTTTGAATAACAAACTCTTCTACTATTTAAAATATATGGGCAGTTTACTGCTTCTAGATGTATTATACTACTAAAGATGTTTGAAACCATAATGTTTGTAGCTTCCTGTATCAAAAGAGGTAAAAATAGAGTTTAATTATTCTTTTGTTTTTGTTGTTGTTGTTACTGTTTTTAGTTTATAACTGTTAGGTAGAACTTTTATGAAATATTGACAGTTGCATATAATTAACCTGGTATTTATTTCTTGAATTTTATACATACTTGTTTGTTCACTCATGTCTTTTCTTTTCATTGGTTTTGAACTGATTGGTCGTTGTCAAGTCAGAACTGACTCATAGCTGATCCTCTAGTCGATTTTTGAGAGGTGTAAAGCATAGGAGAAGAGGGATTGCTGCACTTTTTCCTGTGGAGCCGCTAATGGATTTGAACCGGTGGAGAATTGCCACCTTTGGGTTAGCAGTACAACTCCCTAGGAAGTACTGTGACACCAAAACTCTCTAGTTTGGTGAGGATTTTTGTTGTTAGGTGCCATCGAGTCATGTATGACTCATAGTGATAACATGAACAACAGATCTGAACCCTGTCCTGTGCCATCCTAATCATCTTTGACTTACTTGTGTCCACTGCTGCAGTCACTGTGTCTGTCCATTTTGTCAAATATTTTCCTCTTGTTCTCTGTTCCTCCACCTTTGCAAGCATGATGTCCCTCTCCAAGGAATAGCCTGCCCTACCAACATCCTTAAAGTATGTTCAATTAAGCTTTGGCATCTTTGCCTCCAAAGAGCACTTTGACTGTACCCTCTCCAAGACATTTCTGTTTTTTATTTTGGAAATTCGTAGATTCAGTACTGTTTTCCAACATAACAGCCAGAAGATATAAGTTCATCTTATTTTATACTTTATTCACTTTCCAGATCTCAGATGTAGACCAAATGATTGAAAAGACAATGGCCTGTATCAGGTGTACCTAAGTCTTCAAACTGACATTATCACTCCTTAGTAATTTGGAGAGATCCCTGATAGTGAACTTGTCCAGTGAAATACCAAGGATGTTGGTTGTGAAGATGAAATCATTGACAATTTCCATCTTTTCGTCATCTGTTATGATGTTGCTTACTGAACTAGTGGGGAGAATTTTTGTCTTGATGTTGAGATATAGTTCATATTGAAGGCAACTGTAATCCACTGAATATTTTATACTAATTAAAGAAGTCATAGGTTTCTACTAAATAAATAAAATATTCCCTTCAACAGAATTCACATTTTATTTCCAAATTAAATTTTAAAAACACAATCTTTATGGTCAAAAATAATCTTTATATATATAGTACTCTTGGTACCAGCAGCCAGGAAATTGAAAGACAAATTACACTGGCAGCATCTACTGTCAGGAACCTTGCCAGAGTACCGAAGAGCAGTGATGTCGGTCTATAGTCTAAGGTGCACCTGATCCATGCCATAGGCTTTGCAATTACTTGCTGTGCATTGCTGGATAATGATTAAGGATGATAAAAGAAGAATTGAGTTGTGGTGCAGGAGAAGAGTGTTGAATATACTATGGACTGACAGGAGAACAAACAGGTTCTGCCTGGAGAAGGTGAAATCAGGCTGTTCGTGGGAGGCAAGATTCTGAGGCTTCATCATTTTGGGCATGTTGCAAGGAGGCATGAGTCCTAGGAGAGAAACATCATGCTTGGAAGGGGACAGACAGCATGAGAGAGAAAGACCCTCAGTAGATGGATTGACTAAGTGACTGGGCTAATGGGGGTAGGTGTGACAGAGAAAATGAGGTTGTCTCAGGATAGAGCAGGGTTCAGAGTTCTGGATCGTAGGTTTGCTGTGAGTTGCTTGATGGAACATACCAACAACAACAAACTGCATGGGGAGAGATTTCCTGTCTCTTTTGGGTTCATAATGCCACTCCCTACCCTCTATTCCACCAGAGCCATGCTATAAAAACAGAAGTTAATTTTCATGTTCATTTGATCAGTTTATTCTTGGGGCAAAATACAGTAATTCAAGTAATTATATAGAAATAACAGTACATACAAGGAAAGTGTTTTATGATATTGAGCTGTTATTAGACAGTCCCACTCATCGCTGTCAACTTGGAACCAGCTTATAGTTTATACTTCAGTATGTTTTCAGAGGCAGTAAATTGCACAGGAGGAGATCACCAATCTCTCTCCTGTGGTGTAGCTGGTGGATTCAGTCACCTTTCTTTGTGTTTACAGCCCAACCCTGTGTTCAGCGCTCCCTTGTCCGACCAGTAGCACCACTTTTTCATTTATTGTTCACTGATTCCCTAAGTAAATCACTGTTAATTTACTGATTGCTATAAACAGAGACCCAGTACAGAGTACAGTCCATATTGTGAATTTAAAAAAAAAAAAGATTGAAAGTACGGAGTGAAAAATACTAAAGAAATACCTTTAGGAAATAAATTATGATGGGAATTACACAACAATGTTAATAATGAAAGCACAGATTTACCTAGTAAGTTGAACATTTAGGCTTTTTTCCTTTTGTCTTATACACTCTGTTAGCTAATAAAAAAATCTTGTCTTCATGGAACTGACAGTTTAAGAAAGAAGGATCTGGTGGGGAAAAGATATGGTAAAAGATGGTGGTGCTCTAGAGAGTAAGAAAGCAAGGATGGAGGTGGGAGGTAACACTAGGGGAGGGAATAGTACAATTTTAAGTTGAGTGGTCTGAGAAGAGCTCAGTCTGTCTAGCAGTTGACATTTTGAAAAGACATAAAAGATGAGAGAGAGAGAGAAAAAAAGATGAGATCCAGGAATTATGTGGAGGAAGAGCATTCCCAGCAAAGGGAACAACAAATGCAGTATTCTTTGTAGGGAGCATGCCTCATCCTGTTTAAAGCCTAGCAGTTAGTTCATAATGACTGACTCAAAGAGAGCAAGGGGGAGCAAGAGGAATTGGGGTCAGAGAGGGAAGGGACAGAATGGAGTTTCAGATTGTACTTACTTTGTGCCAGACATTGTATATAAGATGCCACATTTCTTCTTCACAACTCTTTGGAGTAGATACTATTTTCATTTTATAGGTGAGGAAAAGGTTAATAGGCCTATTGCAGGACATGTGTCTGAAAGTGGTAGAGCCAGGTTATAAATCAAAGCAGAGTAATCTGAATCCCTTCTCTTCATCTCTCTATTACATTCCCTTGCCAAAATGTATACTTTTTTTTCTTTGGTCAGATCTTTCACATAACACAAGTATAAGATTTTTCAGTTTTGCCACTGATTCTTTATAGGCATCTAACCTATGATGTGACTAGAGAAAAATGTCTTCAAGATATTTTAACAGCCGTTGTCTCTGGTTTAAATTTAGTGCAGGGATTTAGGTTTGGAATTACCATTGTGTTTTTAGAAATGTACAACTCTAACACGGCAATTTTTTTCTAAATTTTCATTCCTTGAGATTGATTTTAATTTAAGTATATAAAAATTTCCATTCATTGTTGTGTATTTTCCTTCATGGCCACCTCTTCTCCTCCCAGTTCACTTTTCTCTTTGAAAAAGAAAAAACTTCTTTCATTGTTATACAATCCCTGCACCCCCCAGTCCACTTTACTATGCTGAGAGAGCAGAAGAACACAGCTAAGGAAATAAAGGCTTAGAAAAGGGTAGGATGTAGAGAAATGAAGTACCACTTTTCCTCTCTTGTAGGAGAAATGAATATTTTTCCTTTTTGTATCTATGGAGAGATGTTAGAAGTATCAAGTATTGGAGTATAGTTTATGAAGGTAACTAGTTTGTCTAATAAAGTAAAAAATTTCTCTATTGGAAAGATTAGTCATCATTCCAGAGCAAATGTATTTTGGGCAATTGAGGCTATATGTCAGTTGTTAATAATATAAAAAGATGTATATTTTGATTTTGTTTCTCTACAATTAATATTGTTTTCTTAAATATATCTCAAAAGTATAAGTTATCTAGGCTTCCTGTTCCAGTTAACTGCAAGTTGAGACATAAATGTAAGTTATTTCATCTTGTTCTTGTTGTTATGTATCATCAAGTCACTTGCAACTCTTAGCAGCCCTTTCTTTGTACAATAGCTCTGAACCCTGCTCTGTCCTGAGCCAACGTTATCTCTGACAGACCTACCCCCATTGT